TTCCTGGACCCGCCCCTGATCACAGATTTCACGTAAAAATCGATCACTTTAGATAAACACTATCATAAATTGGTACTGTAGACCTTAATTATTTTTTAAAATAATGATTTCGAGTGTTGTATACAAAAATTATATTTTTATATTTGGTATATATATATATATATTTTTTTTTTACAAAAGAAAATAATTTAAGTGCTCAACCAAGAGGTTGGTGGTAAGTGACAAACGAGAAATTATTGCCCACTTTTTCCTACGTTTATTCATTTATTTTTCTATAAAACATACATATAGGTAAGGATTTGAATTAAGCATTTTGCCACTTAAATATTGTCTTATTTCATTTCAGGATAATTGTGAGCTAATTAAGCTAGCTTCATCATGTCTTCTTCAAGCGAGTGGGTGTTGTACTACTGGCCTCTGGCAGGGCGCGGAGAATTTGTGCGGCTGGTTTTTGAGGAAGCCGGGGTTCCGTACAAGGAGATCAATGACGTTGAATTGTTGTCCAAAAACTTTAAGAAAATCGATCTTCCGCCATCAGAAGACTTCAGCTTTCCTTGCTTTGCCCCGCCCGTGATTAAGAAAGGTGAGTTTAAACTCGAATCTCGTTGTTGTTTTAGTCACAATATATGTTATACCTTAGGCTATACCCACAGTAGATGAAACCATATCTTGGTTGAAGTTTTATGGCAGTTGTCGAATTTTGAGATGATCAATCGATACAGTTCTTTAAATGAAAAGAATCGAAAAGGATCTTGATTTCAACCAATTTGTGGACATTTATCATTTTCAGGTGATTTTGTCCTCAGCCAGACTCCGGTGATATGCGAGTATCTCGGGAAGAAGTTCGGGCTGTATCCAGATGGAGGCGAGGAGGAGGAGTATCACGCGCGGCAGTTTAACCTTACCATACATGACTTTATTGCTGATGGTAGGTCATAGGTCACAGATAGGTCATAGGGGTAAAGGGGGGTCTTCAATTCTGATAGATGAAAAAAAAAACGCCACCATGAACATGCTTCTGCTCGCAGTAATACCCGCAAAGATCATCGATGTATCTACTGTGCGACGAAGAAGAAATTCATAGCACTGACTCTAAAGGGCCATTCCACGGGATTTTCCCGCCAAAATGAATTTTAGAGGTTCTCCCCATTTCTACCTACAACCATATTTATGTCCTGTTAAGCTTCTTATATTTCCCGATCCAGACTTTTAACGCTTAAGAATTTGCAAGTCCAACATTTGGCCTACTTCATACAAGTACGACTAATACGTAGGTCACATATTTTTATTTTAACGCATTTCGATAGTTGAAAAATTATTACATTTCAGGACGCTTGGCATTTCATGGCCGCAATCACACAGAATCCTACTACACACAGAAGGAAGAGACCCAGCCGTACATCGACTTCTTTGTGAAGAATCGACTGCCAAAGTGGCTGAGAAACTTGGAGCATTTGTTAAATGCTAACTATGGGAAACACGGAGGGAAAGGGTAATTAATTTAAATCAGCTTTGTTAAAAAACTTATAATATAAAGTTGCTCACGTTTCTGTCCGTTTTTTAGTCCTGTTGTCTTATCAAATTATTCGCAGAAAGTGTACACATTGTGATCCTGACGTTTGTGTGTTTGCATCAGCTCTTAATTTTGTGGTTGAAAAAAATTGAAAAAGGCTCTTTCTTGCTGCCATGTTCATTTGCACAATTGGCATTTTTTATTTAAAATTCCATCTAAAGGGGCAATATTGCCACAGATACACATCAAGACATTCGGTGCTGTTAACATAGTTAAACCCACTGGAAACACACCTCCTGTTACATTTTGTACCCCCCCCCCTTTTTTTTCATATAACACGGGATAATTTCAACGCATTATCGAAAGAAAATTATATATTCTTCATTTTTTTTCAGAAATATAATCGTGTGCTTTGAGTCCGAAGTTAACACTTCAGCTTGAGACTAGAGACATCTATTATACATGTTTTTTTCTTTTACCAGGTATGCGATTGGCACCAAGATGACGTACGTAGATCTAGCTCTTCTCCATGTGTTAAGGGCGACCGAGTCACAATTTCCCGCACCATGGGAGGAACTGAAGGGTAGCTTCCCTCTGTGTCGCGAGTTCAAAGAGAGAATGTCCCAAAGACCCAACTTAGCAGCCTATTTCAAGTCCGACAGGTGTCGCCCGTTTGAAGGCAACAGTATGATGTAGAATTGGTTGCTGTGTTGTCACTGATTTGAGATACGTTTATAGGCAGTGGTGATAATGGAGAAGACTGCCGTGAACTCAACTTATGATGCACCATCAATGTGATATTAACATGTTAAAACAAAAAAACTGAACTGCCATACTGCTATCACTGACTGTGGTACGGGGAAGTCAATATCTTCATGACCTGTAGGTCTACCTGTATAGGGTTAAATGCACAGTCAGTGTTCCTCTTCATACGGTCTTTTTGGGAATGGATTTATTTATTTATTTATTTATTTATTTATTTATTTATTTATTTATTATACTTTTTAATGCGGTCCAAAATTAGATATAATTTTTTATTTGTCTTATGTGTTTAATAAATTAATAATTGCTTATCACATGTGTATATTTCTCCAAGCACCGTTACAAATGCCGAGTCACAAAGAATGATAGGAGAGCCAAGCATTAGTGAGACGGTCAACGTAGTATTTCCCCGGAATATCGTCACTATGTTACGGTAACGACTCCCATCTTTTTCGTGGGGAACGTTGAGAATTTTATAAAACTGATACTACATGTACTTAAGTCATAAATCCTTAAAATAAAACATTGCTAATAAGTGGTAGCAACAAAATTGAAAAACAAGCTACCCCATGTTTCTCTTCTATACTGTGTGCATGCGTGTGTGTGTGGGGGGGGGGGGGGGGGGGGTGCACGATCCCAAAATTATGTTAATGAAATATTGATGTTTCCCCATTGAAAAGTTATAGGGTCATAATCTTTTATATCTCGCCCTTGACGCCCTTGCTCTCTTGCGTCTGATGTTGCTCCGTCAAACAGGAGTGACTTTTCATACTCGAATTTAGAGGGAAGTTACTATTTTTTGTGCTCGAGGTTGGTAATTGAAATTAGTTCAGCTATAATTTCCTTTTAAAAAATGCTTTTTCACCAGTAATGGTCCGTGCATTTAGACTTACTGTGCTACCCAAACTATACGTAACATATTCTTATTCTTGTTACACTATTGCCCCGAGAAAGAATTTATCAATTGAAAACGTCTACCGGGATACGCAACAGCTTTTATAAATATAGTGAATTCTAAAACAACTATAAACGGACTATCATTCGATAAACGGTGTCCCAAAAATATCAATGAAACCAGTGTTATTTCTTATAATTTTTTAATTATATAATTTTTACCACTGTGTTACACAGTGGTAAAAATTATAAGAATTAGAATCATAAAACAATCATCATCTTCATCATCGTTATTAGGCCTATTATAGGCCTATGACAATTTTAAAATTTTATTGTTAAATCAATAATAAAACATGCCAGACCAGACAGCGTCTCGCACACAATAGGCCCTACTCGTTCTGCACTTCACATTGAATATTGAGTCGTAGGTTAAACCAAGTTCACCAGGTGACAGGTAAAGACTGACAGGTAAAGTCTATTCATCGCTGAGTGTGTCAGATCGTTATCTGGTGGTTTGCTACTGATGTGTGAAAGTTTCTGAAACTTGGCGTAGTTGATAAAATCACAAAAACTCGGACAAAAGAATAGAGTGTAGTTTTGTTATTGAGACAAGGGTAGGGGGGGCTACGTATTTCTTGGTCCCTTCTAAGATCTAATAAACGGATATTATGGTATATTAGATCTTGGGTCCCTTTAACCTGCTTCTCACCGTAAGACAAGTAGGCCCTACGTTTCTTAAGGGCAGCAATCACTACTCCACACTGTGGGCAGGTAGCTGCGGTGAGTGACGATATCTATTGAAACTGTTATTAAAAGACACATTTAATTTGCTAATATCCAAAACTCCTGTGACCAAATGGTTTTATTGTTATTTTTTTTAATTTTATTATTATTATTGCTATTATTTTTTTATTTTTTTATTTTTTATTTTTATTTTTTTTTGCTTGAGTTGAATGGGACCACTGTCTAGCTTCTCTATGATGCGCCGTTCGTCTTTGCAAAAAATACATTTGAAATGGATCAATTCAGTTTTATCATAGAGGTAGTCTTCATTGAATTGGACTCTGAATTTGTACAAATAGAATTTTATCTTTAAAAGAAATATATAAAATAGATGAAATGGACAATCAGCTTTCAAATCAAATTACATTATTGTACTAGCTTGTAGTTGTGAAAACTATATGCTGCCGATGACGTCATCACTCTTTGAGCTCAAACTCTAATGAAAAAAAAATCCAGCATTGGGCCCTGGATAAGCTTAGGTAGAGTCGTGCTTCGAATTTTCTCCTTTCTTTGTTTAAAAATCTGATTAAATAGGAATTCACGTTTGAAGATCTAGGTAACTGAATTTTTTAAGTAACAGATTGTTTTTTTATCCAGTAGGTTGCATTTACGATTGACCTACATGTTTGATTATTTTAGTCTGGGGACACACAGTGGGAAGAACCAACACAAATGCCTGCTCTGTGATAAGTTCCAAGAAGACATTATGAACATGATGGAAGAATGCACAAAGGCGGGAGACCAATTTTACAAATGTCAGTACTGTGATGAGATGTTTGCTGCAAAATGGAGCTGCGAAGTTCATGAACGAATTCACACTGATGAAAAAACACAGAAATACCAGTACTGTAATAAGACATTTATGAAAGAGGAAGATTGTATTGATCATGTAAAAATACACACAGGAGAGAAACTATACAAATATCAGCACTGTGATAAGACATTTACACATAAAAGTAATTGTGTTCTGCATGAAAAAATTAACACGGGAGAGAAACCATTCAAATGTCAGCACTGTGATAAGACATTTACTGCAAAAAAGTATTGCATTGAACATGAAAAAATTCACACAGGAGTGAAACCATACAAATGTCAGTACTGCAGTAAGACATTTATGAGAAAACAGCAATGCAGTTTTCATGAAAGAGTTCACACAGGAGAGAAACCATACAAATGTCAGTACTGCAGTAAAACATTTGCAAATAAACAACAGTGCAATAGACATGAAATAATTCACACAGGAGAGAAGCCATACAAATGTCAGTACTGTCAGAAGGCATTCACTACGAAAAGGAGTTGTGTTGTTCATGAAAGAATCCATAGAGGAGAGAGAACATACAAATGTCAGTTCTGTCATAAGAAATTTAATCCTACATATAATTCTGATATACATGAAAGAATTCAAACAGGAGAAAAAACATACCAATGCCAGTACTGTAGTATGACAAACAATATTGAATGCCATGACAATGAAAGAATTCTCACAAGAGAGAAACCATACAAATGCAAGTATTGTCATAAATCATTTACTGTAAAAAGTAATTGTGTCAGACATGAAAGAATTCACACAGGAGAGAAACCATTCAAATGTCAGCACTGTGATAGGACATTCACTAGTAAAGATAAGTATATTGTACATGAACGAATTCACTTGGGGGAAAAACCCTACAAATGCCAGTATTGCAGTAAGACATTTAATGAAAAAAAATATTACATTACTCATGAAAGAATTCACACCGGAGAGAAACCATTCAGATGCCAGTACTGCAGTAAGACATTTACTGCAAAACGGTATTGCATTGAACATGAAAGAATTCACACAGAGAAACCATACAAATGTCATCACTGCGATAAGGAATTTACTAAAAAATATCTTTGCATTGTTCACGAAAAAATTCACACTGGAGAGAAACCATACAAATGTCAGCACTGTGATAAGACATTTACTCATAAAAATAATTGTGTGGCACATGAAAGAATTCACTTAAGAGAGAAACCATACAAATGCCAGTACTGCGATAAGACATTTATTGAAAAGAAGTTTTGCATCACTCATGAAAGAATTCACACGGGAGAGAAACCATTCAAATGCCAGCACTGCAGTAAGACATTTACTGCAAAAAAGTATTGCATTGAACATGAAAAAATTCACACAGGAGTGAAACCATACAAATGTCAGTACTGCAGTAAAACATTTATGAGGAAACAGCAATGCAGTTTGCATGAAAGAGTTCACACAGAAGAGAAAACATACAAATGTCAATATTGTAGTGAGGCATTTACAAAAAAACAGCATTGCACTAATCATGAAAGAATTCACACAGGAAAGAAACCATTCACATGTCATCACTGTAATAAGGGATTTACTAAAATATATCTTTGCATTGCTCATGAAAGAATTCACGCAGGAAAGAAACCATACAAATGTCAGCACTGTGATAAGACATTTACTCATAAAAACAATTGTGTTCTGCATGAAAAAATTCACACAGGAGAGAAGCCATACTGTCAGAAGGCATTTACTATGAAAAGGAGTTGTGTTGTTCATGAAAGAATCCATAGAGGAGAGAGAACATACAAATGTCAGTTCTGTCATAAGAAATTTAATCCTACATATAATTCTGAGATACATGAAAGAATTCAAACAGGAGAAAAAACATACAAATGCCAGTACTGTAGTATGACAAACAAAACTGAATGCCATGTCAATGAAAGAATTCACACAAGAGAGAAACCATACAAATGCAAGTATTGTCATAAATCATTTACTGTAAAGAGTACTTGTGTCAGACATGAAAGAATTGACACAGGAGAAAAACGATACGAATGTCAGCACTGTGATAAGACATTCATTAATAAAGATAAGTATATTGTACATGAAAGAATTCACTTAGGAGAGAAACCCTACAAATGCCTGTATTGCAATAAGACATTTAATGAAAAAAAGTGTTGCATTAGTCATGAAAGAATTCACACCGGAGAGAAACCATTCAAATGCCAGCACTGCAGTAAGACATTTACTGCAAAACGGTATTGCACTGAACATGAAAGAATTCACACAGGAGTGAAACCATACAAATGTCAGTACTGCAGTAAGACATTTATGAGAAAACAGCAATGCAGTTTTCATGAAAGAGTTCACACAGGAGAGAAACCATACAAATGTCAGTACTGCAGTAAAACATTTTTTAAAAAACAGCAATGCAATGATCATGAAAAAATTCACACTGGAGAGAAGCCATACAAATGTCAGTACTGTAGTAAAACATTTGCAAATAAACAACGGAGCAATGAACATGAAAGGATTCACACTGGAGAGAAACCATGCAAATGCCAGCACTGTAAAAAGACGTTTACTGCAAAACAGTGTTTTGATGAAAAACAACAGGAAATTAAGACTGAAGAAAAACCATACTTGTGTAAATTTTGTTACAAAACGTTTGTCAGCAGTAACGAGTGTAATCTTCATGAAAGTAACCCTCACTGCATGACATCTGATCCAATAGCACAAAGACAGCGGGATACAGAAGTTGATCTTGGTAAAAATCTAGTCTGCCAGAACAGTGCTGAGCCATCACATGAATTAGTCAAAGAAGAAAATGAGGACTATTATCCTGCACAGGAGCCACCATATCCAGTTGCTTTGTTTAAAAATGCATTTGCTTAGACTTTGATTGGAGTGGTATAAACTTTATTATGATGCAAGAATTGTAAATTCATGAGAAATACATTGTTGTTCTTTAAAGAAAATAAAAAAAATAGGACATTCATGCACAACTTGTACATAATAATGTTATTTGCATGTGCACAATCAAGTTAGTGTAGTTCTTTAGTTTTGATGATAAATGTATTCTACCTTCCTTTCTTGCTTTTTGTGAATATGTTGATGTGATAGTGTGTTTAATTAGCAACTGGACATGGAGGAGGACCCTTAAAACATGACATTTGGCTTATTGAACCATAGGGTTGAATTTGCAAACTCGAAATATTTTGTGTAGACAAACCCAAGACAACATGCTTTATCCTGTCTTTTCAATATATTTGTATTTTTTGGGAGTTCAGTCCCCTTGATAGAGGTAGAGAAGAATTCCTCCCCACTATTTTTACTCATGATCACTACCCACAAGGGTCACTGTAGGCCAGGGTAGTCAGTTACAAACCTGTCTTGTATACTAGAGTGACTACTTGGTTCAGAGGGCAGGGTTAACTCATAGCATATTTCCCGTATGTTGTACGCCATGTTCAGTCCACATTGCTATTAAGCAAGAAGTCATGCCTGACAGTCCAAAGCCTTTATTGTCATCTTGTAATTTATAATGCTGAAACGAATATACATTCCTTACATCATGGGCCTACAAAAGCTTCTTGCAGTATACCTTACATGGAGGTTAATCAATAGTTCAAACAAGTTAATTTTTGCACTCGGATATTTCATTGCCCATCAGGTTGGAGGTTACAATCATCAGCAAATCATATCATTGCCTTAATATCCCAACTTATATATATATATATATATATATATATATATATATGTCAAAGGCCCGGACCAAATCTAGTCCCATGCATAAAAAGCCCAGACCCCATGTTTATTACGCCGTGGCTGGGCCCATTCTTTATGTTGTCTTTGCATTGTTAACAGCATAATGGGTAAGTTAAATGACCAAGTTTATTGGCCAAGCTGCCAGTTTGTTTGTATGGCATGTGCAGGAGATGTCTTAGATCAAGGCACAAATGAAGCCCACCTTTAATTTAACATTTCTTATGTAAATGTTACTAAATCAATCTACATGTCTTTTCTTTGAACATTAAACATCTTTAAAAGTATCATCCACTGATGTATTTTACAAATCACAGGTAATGACATACAAGTACATCTCATTTGCCACACCTGTAAGTATCGTAATATGTGACTTGATCACGAAATTTTTTAAATGATATATGGGCTTAATTTGGGTGTTTGCACATATACATTAAATTCTCAGGTAAAATTTGCACGGGAGAAATCAGTTCTGTATTAATAAAATCAATATTTTCACATTGGTCATACTGTTTTCTCTCAAAGTTTATTTTATTTGTATGCATGAAATATGTATTTAAAAATAAAAGTATATTGAATAAGAATCAGTTTTTACCATTTTGAGATATGGCTTAAGTAAATGAAAATGGGCATTTAAAGGTTTTTAATAATGAAAATAAAGTCATTGCTTTGAAAAAACATTTTTCATTCCCCACTCCGACCTCTAATGAAAATAAAAATTGTTTGAGAAACAAATTCGAAAATATCTGCCTTACGCATGGTTAATGGGATCAAGTATCTATATCAAGTATTTCATAATCATACGCTAGGTGCGTTCCAAATGCCGTGTCAACTGTTGTACATATTAATTTTATAATTTTTAAAATCAGTAAAATCAACTCAGTGTTTTGTGTCAACGGCTGACATTCCTGTAAAGTTAGTTAAGTCCTAAAGCAGTGTAACGCCGCGCCTTAGAAACCTTTTTTAACCTTCCTCCTCTTACAGAAGGGTATTGCAGCCTTAGTCTTTATTTTTCAAATTTAGAACTATCAGGGGCGGATCCAGGATTTTATAAGGGAGGGGGGGGGAGTCCGGTTTATTAGGGACTGACATGCCTCGGATTGCAAGGCCGGCCCTCACCCACTTGGTGTTATGTGCGGGGCATGCTCAAGGGCCACAAAAAAAATTGGTGTTTTGGAGGGCAAAAGGCGTCATTTGGTACGGTTTACAGCTATGATTCAGCTAGAAGTTTATTTATTTATTTTATTATTATTATTTATTTATTTTTGTTTTGTTTTGTGCAATTTTTATCAGAAATCGAATGGGGGGGGGGGGGGGGGGGGGAGGACCCCCCTGACACCCGGCCCTTAAACCGCCAATGAACTGTAATGTTTAGGTGTGGAAAACGGAAATCTCTTTCTTTTTACCAATGCCATGACAATGAAGTAAAAAGTTTCAAATGGTTAACTTGATCATAATCCAATGAAATAAAAGTTTTATAACAAATTTCATAAACCGATTCGACGTTCTGAATCACGACGTCACACCTACTGTGACGTAAAACCTCACAGGAACATTCAGTCTTGACGGCAGTTCATTTTGAGCAGCACGTCTTTTTTGACAAGCGCTATATTCTTCCTCAAAATGACTCCTGGCAAAACTGAAATCTAGAACCTAGAATATTGCACAAATATTGTAATGGCGGTGTATAAAAATATTTCCCAGAGGTACAAGTAGAAAAGAAAAAAAAAAATACAGACAGGAAAGAGAGTAATATACATGTATATTTATCAGCAATATAATATTACGACAAAACCGGTGTTAATTTTCCTTCTTATGTGAAGAAAGTTGGTAGCCATAATGAATAGCGATGCTATGGTCACGTGGCCGGCGGTCTGTATAAAACTGTTGCATCCAGGGTGTGACACTAGTGCTCTCGTCCCTTCCCGCAGGGGCGTAACCAGACCTTTAAAAATTGTACGCACAGATTTTTAAAATACCTAGCATGTACAGCAAAATGTAGACTAACGCAACAGATGAAGGACAGCGTAATCACAGCATATGTACCACACATCGTAGCTTAATTTCCATTAATAATAAAAAATCATCATTTAAGTCAAAAATATTCTCGCGATTTAATAACGTTTCAATATTTTTATTTACCCAGAACGGCATATTCATTTAAAAGGAGGCTAACTTCGCATCAGCGGACCCCCCTCCCCTCTTCTAATAATCCTGGATCCTCCTCTGAGTTGAACTTATATACNACNCATATATATATTCATGACTTTTACCTTTCTACGAAGTAGGCCCTATTCACAATGCTTTAATATTTTGAGAGCATGGATAAAGACATGTTGTTAGTTTGATACGTGTTTCTGTGGTAAATAAGTGTTTCCAGCTGTGTACTGAAAACATAACTTTTCTTAAGCAGTTTTTTTTTTTTTTTTTGACTGTTTTTTTTTTTTCGCCCGCTTGCGCCGATTTGGGGGTCCCCAGAGGATGTCATCCATAAAAATAAAAGTGTGGCCTTATTTAAACACTTCGACGACTCTTGCGAATGTCAGTGAGGAAAGAAACATTTGAAAGTAAATCATAATAAAAACATTGAAAAGTTCTCAAACACCCACACAAAATATCTATCTATCTAAATCTATCTATCTATCTATCTATCTATCTATTCCCGTATGAAAAGTTCACATTTACCAAATATCACTTCAATGCGCGGATTTGATAAACGTAAGTCCGTGAGTAGCAGAGTACTTTTATCCCTACTGTTTTTTAACTACTGTATTTGTTTCTTGATTTTTTATTTTCGAGAATTCGCACAATTTTCCCATGTTTATATGTAAAATGCTTCCAAATAAACCACTCACCTTGCTGATTTACTTCGAATCCCAACTTTATTCCAAATGCTGATTACGCTCACAGAAAACGATACATCATGACATATATATATGCATATGAGTGTCACCAACATGTCTCAGACCCGAGAATAATGCAGGCGGAATTTTTAGGCACCCGTTAAGTAGGTCAAAGTCTAGTCAAGCACAGAAATTTGACAAAGCCTGCCGGTTTTGCCGGTTTTGACACATACTGTCAATGTTGTGTACTTTTGCAAAAATAAAACCATTCATGATAAAGAGCTTTGCACAAACTTCAAACAACTGCGCATGTGCGAAAAGTGCTGTTTGAAATGAACAAGTTGGTGAAATTGACAAAGCCTGCCGGTTTTACCGTCTGGTTGATTTTATTTCATTAGCTCTCTGGTGTCTTTTTGAAAGTTTATATTAGAAATGTTCTATTGATTTTATGTTGTAAAAAGTAAATCCGTCGGAATTCCTTAGAAAAGCATTTATTTTACCTTCATTTTAAGGTAGTAATTAACAGTAAATTGTCAAAATTTGGGTGTTTTTCTGAATTTGTCAGTATTAGATAGATGAAATATCAACTACATATCAGCCTATCTTAAAATAATGGAAGTTTACAAATAAACCCGTAATTTTAGCCTAATTGCTAATTTACCCCTGTGGTAGCGTGTCTGAGTTTTAAATTAGGTCACACTTGTCCATATATGTGTTTGATTGGCAGCTCCACTGTGCAGCTGTATATTTCCCGTACTAGATTGCCAGGGGCGGATTTAGGCC